TATGGAGGGATGGACACTGGGAAGAGGTAACTATGGGGAGGAAGTGGGAGGGAAGCTGTTGCATTGTAAATTTTGGTCAATGACATGAGACAAAGTATATTATGTGAACTGCTGTATGAAAAGTGAATTTACTCTGTAAATCTTAACCCAAATCAAAATAAAATTAAAAAAAAATAATACCATATGATCTAGCAATCCTAGGACTAAATATATATCCTAGAAAAATAAGAGCCATAACATGAACATATATATACATACCCATGTCCATCACATCATTATTCACAATAATAAAAAGATGGAAATAACCTAAGGTCCATCAGCTGATGAATGGATAAATAAACTATTCCACACAATGAATACTAAACAATATTAAAGAGTAACAATGAATCTGCAAAACACCTCAAAACATGGATGGTCTAAGAGAATATTATGCTCAGTGAAATAAGTCAATCACAAAAGGACAAATACTGTATGACCACTATTGTAAAAAGTTAACTAAAGGTTTTGTGGTGTAGTGAGTTGCATGGTATAGCTCTTCTAGCCAGTCTTTGTGATTCCCACCGGATTACTTGGTGGGACCATACAAGTACACATCAACTTGCCTGGGCAGCTGGTAGTAGTTATTTCCTATAATGAGACTGGCAATTAACTCCATGGTGGAATTTGCCATAAGCAATTGAGTAGCTGCTAGATCATATGGTAGCTGCTGTTGCATTATGGGGATTGCAATGAATGTAACAAAACAGATTGCCAAAGTCATCCACCTAGGCTATGCAGCATGAAGTAATCTTCTGAGAAAGTTCACACTCTCTCTCAGTATGTATGTACCATAGTTTGGTTATCCATTCTTCTGTTGATGGGCGCTTAGGTTGTTTCCATCTCTTTGCTGTTGTAAATAGTGCTGCAATGAACATGGGTGTGCACACATATCTGTTCTTGTCCTGGCTTTCACTAATTCTGTCTTCCATTGATTCAATTCTGCTCCTTTTCCCATTCATTGTCTTATCTACTTCTGAAAATTTAGTATTACTCTTCTGGATTTCTGTATGTAGATTTTGTATCGTTTCTAATTTTTCATTGATTTTGTCATTTTGTTCTTGTATTGTCTTTCGAAACTGTTGTAGGGTTTTCTCTGTGTTTTCCGCAATGTTTTCAGTTGTTTCCTTGATCTGTCTCTCAATCCGTTGAAGATACCTAAATATAATTCTTTTGAATTCCTATCAGGGAGTTCCAATGCTACATCTTCCTCAGGGATGTTTTTTGGGTCTGTGTCCTGGTCCCTTGTTTCTCCTGCTTTATCTTGCTTCTTTGTGTGGACTGTGATACTCTGTTGTCTCAGAGGCATTGTGACGTTTTTGTGTTTATATTTAATTAGTGATTCTATGTTGTTTTTCTGTTGTGCACAGGGTCACTGTAAGTCAGAAATGACTTGACAGCACCTTACAACAGCAACAATCTCCACCTATATATTAATATGTTGCTGCAAATACATATGGGAGCTCTGGTGGTGTAGTGCCTAAGGCATTTGACCGCTAACCAGAAAGCTGGCAGTTCAAGCCCACTAGCCACTTCTCAGAAGGAAGACTGGGCAATCTACTCCCATAGAAATATCACCTCGGAAACCCAATGAGGGGTGCCTACATGACTGTAGTAGAGCATATGGGGCAAAGTCAGAAAACCTATTAGTTATAACAAAACACCTTTAGGAAATGAGTCACTGGGCATGGGGGGCACAGGATCATAATCTTGGGGAATACTAAGGTCAATTAGTATAACATAGTCTACAAAGATAATGTTCTACATTCTACTTTGGCAGAACAATTTGTCCAGAGAGAGAGGTAGGAAGGCAGGAAGGACTGGTAAGGAAGGACAAAGGGATGGTAGGCACAGGAAGGAAGCAGAAAGAGTGCTGTTGCATTATGGGGATTGCAATGAATGTAACAAAACAGAATGTGTATGGATTGTTAAATGGATGCTAATTTGCTCCGTAACTTTCACCCAAATCATAATTTAAAAAATTTTTTTAAAAAGCCTTGTTTCCTATCAATCTGCATTCTGATCCTTTACCTGTCTTCCCTCTTTCAATAAGCTACACCACCAGCTGTTCATGAAAAATGTCTGAGCATCATCGTTTCATCTTTGTGAGGACGTGCCACATTTAACCACCAGCAAGTTGAAGTGTTTACCTGAAAAATACAGTATTCCAAATCAAGCCACTTTTCTCCATCTCCATCACCACCAGCCTCCTAACTGGTGTCCTGCTACCATACTTGCTCCTTATAATTCATTTTCCACACAGCAGTCATAAGGTATGATTTCCTGTTTTACACACTATGTTTATTCAATTATTTCCCTAAACCTTCACAAACAACATCAGGCCCTTATGCCCACATAGCCTTGTCCAGGTGGTCTCTCCCTGACTCAAACTTCATCACCTACCACTTTCCTCCTACACTCTAGCCACACTGGTCCTCTCTCTGTCCCTCCAACACACTACACTTATCTTTGCCTCACAATACCCACTCCTAATTATTATATGGGGGCTCTGATAATATAGTGCCTAAGGCACTTGACTGCTAACCACAAAGCTGGCGGTTCAAACCCACCAGCCACTCCTCGGAAAGAAGGTTGGGCAATATACTTCCATAGTGATACCGCCTCAGAAACCCAAGGAGGGGTCGCTATGAGTCAGGTCCGACTCAATGGCACACAACAACAACAACAATTTTTATATGGCTCCATTCTTCTCACCATTCAGGCCACAGTTCAAATGTCATTCCTCATAGAAGTCTGCTCTGTACATGATATTCTCTTTCATATCCCTCTAGTTTCTCTGCAACATTTACCACTACCATAGATTATCTCCTTTATTTGTTAATTTGTTAAGTCCCACTTACTTGAAGGAGCCCTGGTAGCATAGTGTCTAAGGCCCTTGATTGCTAACCAGAAGGCTGGCAATTCAAACCCACCAGCCACTCCTTGGAAGGAAGGTTGGGCAATTTACTTCCATAGTGATACTGCCTTGAAAACCCAAGGAACAGTCACTATGAGTCAGTCCGACTTGACGGCACATAACAACAACAACAACTTAATTGAACATGAACTCCACTGTGAGCAGATTCAATCTAAAACAAGATCTTTCATTTTCATCTAATCAAACATGTCACCTTTCCATCATGACTTCAGAATCTCCTGTCTTGCACACTATGGTTATTCAATTATTCCTCTAATTTTTTCTATTATTTCCATTTTTCATTCATTTAGGTATTCAACCTATTTGGGATTAATTTTTATATACTTGAGAAACAGGGGTAAGCTACTGTATAAAGGTCAAATGCTTCTATATCCCCTCTCTTTCTATAGTTCCAATCTCCAGCTGATGATTCTATCCACTATGCCCCCTGACCCAAAAATCCTAATGGACCTTTCAGGAACATTATGCTTGAAATGCACTTCCCCATCTCCTAATGAACCCCTATCATTCCTTAAAACCCCAGTCCTAATGTCATCTTTCCTTGCAGGCATTTCTTGACCTCATTTCTTTCTTTAAATTTCCATTCTAATATCCCTCTACTTTATAATCTATAGTACCTGCCTCGTAAGTATTGTGACTTGGTACTTAAACTCAGAACAAATGCTAAAACCAAAACCAAATTATAAAGAAACGGGAAAAAGAGGGCAGATCAATCAGGAACAGCGACACTAAGCACTTTTCATCGATACCACAAATCTTCTCATCTAAGGACTTGAACCGCTCCAATCTAGTTTTCCTGCTTTCAAAAGCAAAGCCGGTCGAGCCGGAGCAGAGGACTGGAGAGAGCAGCCGACGCCTCTTAGACTCACCTGTTCGCCGCGCCGCAACCTCTGGTCCGAAGCTTGACTTCCTGGCTTACTCTCCTGCGAAGCTGTGGGGTTCGGTCCCCACTGAAGCTGCGGTTGCAGGATGTAAGAGAAGCGCGACCCGCTCTCTACCCAGTGTCCGAAGCCAGACGTCCTGTGACCCGGATGTTGATATGCCACCTGCCCCGGAAACGGTGGCGAGAGGCCTACGGGGACCGAGGTGGTGTTGCCCGGCTCTCCGGAAGGAGACGTGGCGGCGGTTGGGCCCCCGGCTCCGTTTGCTCTTTGTAGCCCCGCCGCCTCCTCCTCCTCCTCCTCCTTCTCCTCCTCCTCTCTGTGGACAGAGGAGGTTGTGGCGGCAGCTGGAGAAAGCAGCGGCGGAGGATGGAGGAAGGAGGCGGCGGTGCGCGGAGCCTGATACCCGGCGGGCCGGTGTTACTAGTCCTCTGCGGTCTCCTAGAGGCGTCCGGCGGCGGCCGAGCGCTCCCCCCGCTCAGCGATGACATCCCTTTCCGAGTCAATTGGCCTGGCACCGAGTTCTCTCTGGTCAGTACTCTGCGATCCCCGCTGCCTCCCTCCTTTCCTGGCACTCAGGGTTCGGCCCTTACACTCAGTACTCTTTTTATTTCCCCCCGGAACCTGCCTTACAGGGTCATGCCTCCTACTCTAATCCAAAAGTTCATTTACATTGCGTTTATTCACTCAGCAAGTATTTTTGAGTACTATGTTAGGCATCAGCAAGTATTCTTGAGTACTACGTTAGGCGTGGTGGATCCAGCGGTCACCTGTTCTTTAAGTCTGTCTCCCTAGACTTTGCTTCCCAACACTCCCACCCTGTGGAAGAAGCATTCTTAGAACCATGTCAGACGTACACGTTCATCTTCTCTGTGGAAAAAGAACTGCCAGTCATTCTTCACCATCAATGTGACACATCATCTCACCGTCAGTGTTACACACCACCCTGCCCACACAACGGTACTACTGCAGAATGGTGTTCATTTTCTCATATTCGTTTTCGTTTTATGTACACACTTTTACGTGTAGCACCAGAGGAAGCCTTTTCCTTCAGAGTTGTTTCTGAAAGGACTATTTGGCCTGTGGCATGTTAACGACCCCTAAGCAGTATCTCTTTGACAGCGTTGATGTATTATAACCGGTCTCTCAGAACATGTATTTTATTACCAGTTTTCCTATATTGAGGAACATTCATATCCTCATGGGAATGAATGAATATTTGCAGTTCTTTGAGGAGGAGACTACTGAAACATCTTCATATGCAGCTAGCAGGCCAATAAAAGCAGTAAAATTGTTCTTTTGTGATGCTTGCCTTACAATAGTTAATTCATGTATTTAAAAATGAAGTTCTGGAAAATGTAAAAAAAAAAAAATTTAATGTTTTAACGCAGTTACCTAGAATAATTCAACTTGGGACATTCTTGTATTGTTAAATTATTATTTCTTTAACACCATGATGTCCAAACAGAAGATTTAACAGGATAATGGGTGTCATCATTACCAAAATAGCTCTTCGTTTGCAGATGTTAGTTTTTATATTTCACACCTGGTTTGTTTACAGCCTTCTATTTTCAGTTCTCCCCTTCTTGAAGTTAAGTAGTTCTCAAATTTGTTTAGGTGAATGTTTCTCTGGGAAGCCAGGGTTATCTTTGCATTATGCCATGAAGTATTAATATATTAAAATACCTATATAAAATTTTGTTATAAAACTTAGGCAGACTTGGGGAGAGAATACTTTTGTCCAACTTTGTTGTTGTATTCAACATGCACACTTGGAAGGACTTGGAACGATCGTGACAGTTAAAGATTATAGTCATTAGAATTTTTTCTTCCTGGATGTGTTTTGTTTTTTAATATGCAGTGTAAAAACCTGCAAAAGCCAGAGCCAGTATAAGGCAGAAACCTGTCAGAGAAGGTAAACTCAAATATTTTCCGCTAAAACGAGCAATAGAAAAGTGGTAAAACTGCACTCTGTCAAAGGCAGAAAACTAGCAAGACCTGGAAAAACAAGGTAGTCCTGTCGACTCTGCTATCACATGTTTATGTGTGTTTGTATGTACAGGCATACCTCAGAGATACTAAGGGCTCAGATCCAGACCACTGCAATAAAGTGAAAATCACGATAAAGGGAGTCACCAATTTCTTGGGTTTCCCAGTGAATGTAAAAGTTACATGTATACTACACTGTAATCTATTAAGTGTGCAATAGCTTTATGAAAAGTTTGAATACTTCGAGAATTACCAACATGTGACACAGAAACGCAAAGTGAACACATGCTTTTGGAAAAATAGCACTGATAGACTTGCTTGACACAAGGTTGCCACACACCTTCAATTTGTAAAAAACATAATATCTGTGCAGCATAATAAAGTGAAGTACAATAAAATGAGGTATGCCTCTGTTTGTGTGTATGTGTATAAATGTTGCATTGCCAAAAAAATAATTTAAAATGAAATTTCAAAAAAATTAATTGATATGAAGGAATTGGATAGCATACTTTAAGACTGAGATCTCTTTTCAAGCAGCAAATGCCAGTGCCAGAAAGAAAACTGAATGACAGTCTGGTAGTTACCTCTAGAAATTATATACCTCTATAAGTTACCAGCTTATAGAATGGTAATTTAACAGGGTGACATTATCAGCACACTGTTTTATATAACGAAGCCGCACATATGTACATTTTCCACCAAAAGTACAGTAAGGAGATACATACATATATGTGTGTGTGTGTGTTTGTGTATGTTTGTTTGTATCTTAAGGAGCTCTGGTAGCATAGTGCCTAAGGCACTTGACTGCTAACCAGAAGGCTGGCGGTTCAAACCCACCAGCCACTCCTCGGAAGGAAGATGGGGCAATCTGCTTCCATAGTGATACTGCCTCGGGAACCCGAGGAGGGGTCGCCATGAGTCGGGTCCAACTTGACTGCACATAACAACAGCAACATGTATCTTAAATATTTTTTAAATATTAAATATTAAATATGGAGTACTTTTAAATATATGTAAATTCCTTTCAGTTTTTCGCTTCAGTTTCTTCTTGTGCTTTAAATTAAAAAAACTCTAGTGGTACAGTGATTAAAACATTTGGGTGCTAATCAAAAAGTGGGTGGTTTGACCCTACCAGCCATTCCACAAGAGAAAGATGAAGCACTCTGCTTCTGTACAAATAAAAGCTTTGGAAACCTTATGGGTCAGTTCTACTCTGTCCTGTCGGGTCATTGTGAGTCAGAATCAACTCAGTGCAGTGGTTTTGGTTTGGTTTTGAGTACTTTAAATTTTTACATATGTTGTTGCTGTTAGGTGTCATCAAGTCAACTCCCATTCATAATGACCCCAGGTACAATAGAATGAAACATTGACCCATCATGCGCCAGCCTAACAATCCTTCCTATACTTGAGTCCATCGTTGCAACCACTGTGTCACCCCATCTGTTGAAGGTCTTCCCCTTTTTCACTGACCCTCCTCTTTACCAAGCATGGTATCCTTTTCCAGGGAATGATCTCTTCTGACAACATGACCAAAGTAGGTAAGACAACATCTGGCCATTCTCACTTCCAAGGAGCATTCCAGTTGTACTTCTTCCAGGACAGATTTGTTCATTCTTCTGGCAGTCCATGGTATTTTCAGTATTCTTTGCCAACACCATAGTTCAAAGGCATTAAATTAACTCTTCTTCTGTCTTCCTTATTCATTGTTCAGCTTTCACACATGTATGTTGTTGTTGTTAGGTGCCTTCAGGTCGGCTGTGATTCATAGCAACCCTATGTACAACTGAACAAAACACTGCCCAGTCCTATACAAGCCTCACAATCCATGTTATACCTGAGCCTATCATTACAGTCACTGTGTCAGTACATCTCATTGAGGGCCTTCCTCTTCTTCACTGACCCTCCACTTTACCAAGTATGATATCCTTCTCTGGGGAGTGGTCCCTTCTGACAACATGACCAAAATAAGTAAGACAAAGTCTGGCCATTCTTGCTTCCGAGAAGCATTCCAGCTGCACTTCTTCTGGAACAGATATGCTAGTTCTCTGGCAGTCCATGGTACTTTCATTATTCTTCACCAACACCACAACTCAAAAGCATCAACTCTTCTTTGGTCTTCCTTATTCATTGTCCAGCTTTCACATGCATATGGGGCAATTGAAAATACCGTGGCTTAGGTTAGACAAACCTTAGTCCTCAAAGTGACATCTTTGCTCTTCAACACTTTAAAGAGATCTTTTGCAGCAGATTTGCCCGGTGCAATGTAATAGCTGATTTCTTGACTGGTGCTTCATTGGTATTGAGTGTGGAACCAAGTAAAATGAAATCTTTGACAACTTCAAGCTTTTTTTCCATTTGTCATGATGCTCTTATTGGCTCTGTTGTGAGGAGTTTCATTTTCTTTATATTGAACTGTGATCCATACTGCAGATTGTAGTCTTGAATAATCATCAGTAGTGCTTCAAGTGATCTTCACTTTCAGCAAGCAAGGTTGTGTCGTCTGCATATTACAGGTTGTTAATGAGTCTTCCTCCAATCCTGATACCACATTCTTACTCATATAGTCCAGCTTCTCAGATTATTTGCTCAGCATACAGATTAAATACGTATGGTGAAAGGATACAACCTTTATGCACACCCTTCTTGATTTTAAATCATGCAGTATCCCCTTGTTCTGTTCAAACAGCAGCCTCCTGGTCTATGTACACATTCCTCATGAGCACAATTAAGTGTTCTGGAATTCCCATTCTTTACAATGTTATCCATATTTTGTTATGATCAATACAGTTGAATGCCTTTGCATAGTGTAAAAGTACAAATAAACATCTTTCTCGTGGCCTTTGCTTTCAGCCAAGATTCATCTGACATCAGCAATGATATCCATCATTCCATGTCCTCATGTATTGTTACATACATAATGTATGTAATAAGATAGAATATTGCATTCATATGTATACATGTACATATAGATGTAATACTTTATTGCACTTTTGTTGAAAATGTACACAGCAAAACGTGTGTGTGTGTGTGTGTGTGTGTGTGTTTAATAAAAAGTGTGGTGATATGCCACCCTGATAAATTCCCGTCCTATGATCTGGTAACTTTAATGCTTTTTTATAGGTTACTGCCAGACTGTCACTCAGTTTTCTTTCTGGCACTGGCATTTGCTGCCTGAAAAGAGATCCCTTCTTAGTATATGCAGTACCAACCTTTCACTATCTGTCAATTTAATTTATTTTGAATTTTAATTTTTAATTATTTTATGATAATACAACATAATCTAAGATTTGGGGAATAATTTTTTTTTTCATTTTTAGTTACTTTGAAAAGAATCTGTAAATATTTTTCTATGAATTGCAAAAATAATTTGTGCTCCAGAAGTAAAAATAGCCACTAAAGTTCTTGTCATTAGTCTTCCCCCCTACACACACTACTTCTATAATTGTAGGCTGCCTTTCCTATTTTATTTTATTGACACAACTGCCCTCCTCACCTGGTGCTGCCATTTTCTTTTATGTGCCAGTTGGTTGAACATTTATGTA